GTACATTTACATATGTATATATATGTATATATGTATGTTTGTATGTATGTATATATGTATGTATATCTGTGACTTTGTCTGTGTCTGTGTCTGTGTGGGTGTCTATGTGGTTGGGTGGGTGGGTGTGTTGGTGTGTACATGTGTGTCTGCTCGTGTGTGTTATTGTGCTCGTAATCCTAGCTCTTCGCCATACGAACAGTGTTTTTGCTGGTATAGTTGGACTGCAGTGATTGTCATTGTTTGTCCATCTGCAGAATTACTTTGTACTAGTCAGAAGACATGGGCCAAGGACACTGCTGCTACCACTAGCCTAAACTCTACCACAAAGCGTTACGCATAAGCCACTAAAGTATCTGTAAGTGCGCCTCTATCTGAGTGTATATGCGCCTCTATCTGAGTGTATATATACCTTTAGTTGACAATCAAAGTAATGCTGCTTTATCCGAGCTACATATACCGTCCGTTTCCTTCCGTTTGCAATACAAGCACTAATACCCCGGCTATTGCTACCACTGCTGCTGCTGAGTGTTTGCTTGCTCACTTTTGTGCAGGATGGTGATATTGTGCTGTTTGAGTACTCGGAGGAGCACCCGTTGCTACTACCGAACGTGGGAATGGCCAGCAAAGTCATCAACTATTACAAGGTAACAACTATCAAGGGATTATCGAGAAAGAAAACCTGTTTTCTCTGTCTCTCTGGGATATATTTCTATTTCTATTTCTATTTCTATTTCTATTGCTATTTCTATTTCTATTTATATACATACATATATATATATATATATATATATATATCTGTTTTATCGCTAACAATTCAGTATATATTTCTTCTGAAGAGGTTAGCTAATGGCTCTCGTGTGAACGCGTCGGCTGTAGATGATGACATGTGCCACTCACTTTCGCATCGACCTTTCTGTACAACCAATAGAAAAAAGGGAACGAGGGCCGTCCCAAATTCAAGCACGGGATCTGCGTTGTGTTTGGCAAAAACGACACCACAAAGGTATGTATGGGTCAAATATCTACAAGAATGTTATTGTTTTAGGGTTTAAAGTTTTTGAATTAATTCTTGCGATTTCTATTCGTTCACATTGGGTAGGAGCGCAGGTTTATCTCACCGCAGCACCACCGCATATTCTTCTATTAGCAACTCATCATTGGAAACCACATCCTCGAAATCACAAGCTATAAATTAATTACAAATTAAGACTCGCCGTCTTTCTCGCGTGCTCCGCAGCATCTGTTCCTGGGCAATCTGCGTGAGGGCACTATGTTGCAGAGTTTGAGCAGTAAACTGCTGCGCGTGCCCATCTACCGTCACCGCCCATTCTCAACGGACTTTCTGATCATCCGCTCCAAAAACAAATTCCACATCCGAGATATAGTAAGTACTCTCCACGGCTTCTCTTTTGAGATATATATATATATATGTGTGTGTGTGTGTGTGTGTGTATGTTAAATTAAGTGTTGTGCATGCCCTCTGTTTGTCGTCCCCTGTATTTACCAGTCGATAACTGTTCGTTCTTCGTATAGTGAGATGCATTGCATATCCTCCACAGCCCTTCTTTTGTGATAAAGTTTGTGCTGTGCATGACCTCTGTTTGCCGTCCCCTGTATTTACCAATCGATTACTGTTCGTTCTTCGTATAGTGAGATGCATTTCATATCCTCCACAGCCCTTCTTTTGTGATAAAGTTTGTGCTGTGCATGCCCTCTGTTTGTCGTCCCCTGTATTTACCAGTCGATAACTGTTCGTTCTTCGTATAGTGAGATGCATTCATCCCTTAAGCGTAGGCTTTTAGTTAACCATATAGCCCTTTGGTCGCTAGGTGTGTGTTCTTCATGTGCTGAGTACGTTTGGTTTGCAACCGGCAGTTGGTCAATGTGTGTTATACCATGCATAGCTGCCACTCAGTGTTCTACTTATACTCCTTTGCTCGCAAGCACTGTAGTCTTTCAGACAGACAAGACAGACAGACATACATGCATACATACATACATACATACATACATACATATATACATACATACGTACGTACGTATATATATATATATATATATATGTATGTATATATGCATGTATATATATAAAGGAGGGCATTGGATTTGATTTTGAACGAGGTGCTAAAACCAGCCTCATGTGCCAGCGTTTTTTGTTGTTTTGTTCGCATGTTCATCTGCACTACCATTGCACTGATGACCTACTCCTGTCGTCCCCATTTGCAGCCCGCTATCTTTGTCACAGGCCAAATCCTGCCGAAAGTCGAGATCCCGCCACCGAACTCACGCAAAACCAATAACTTCACAGCCAGGCGGTTAGAGGTAAGTCACGTGTATCCGCTGTGGTGTGTAACTGTCAGTGGAAGGAGGAGGTGACGATGCTGAATGTTCATGCTGGAATGCTGAATGTTCATGCTGGAATGCTGAATGTTCATGCTGGAATGCTGAATGTTCATGCTGGAATGCTAGACTTTTTTAGACAGAATTAGGAGACTGTGATCCCTGATCCCTGAACCAACCCCTAAACCCTGAAATCCTGTACCTCAGCTGTGAGTTCAAGTATTCGCGTACGGATGCCGCATAGCTTGTAGGAGTTTAGGGTTTCAAGGTTTAGCGATGAGTTGTCTTGTCTCTGGTCGTTCTGTTTACGGCAACAGTTGTCAATAACATACGGTGTTCCGATCTATCATTAACATCTCTGGTCGTTATGGTTACGGCAGGTGTACATTTGGCGACTGTTCAAGAACCAGAAGGATAAAAAAGAGAAGAAGGTGAAGATCGAGGATATAAAGGCTGCCTTCCCCATCCACTCCGAGACCAGTATTCGGAAAAAGCTGAAGGTGTGTGTCTATTCTGTATTTAGTTTACATATTTTGTTATAAATGCTAAAAGGTGTTCCTAAAAGATGTTCCTGAAATTTGTTTCTAAAACATCTTCCTGAAACATCTTCCTAAAATATTCTCCTAAAGTATGTTCCCAAAATGTGTTCCTAAAACATCGTCCTGAAAGGTGTTCCTAAAATGTTTCCAGAACACTCGCATAGGCAAAGGTGTCAGGTCCATGCTACCGTTAATGGCTTGTCATCCATCTTTTCAAATGGTACAAACAGTTTATTTCTAGAAACCTGTCGGTGCTATAACATGTGTGTTGAATCTTATATAGGATACCGTATTTCAATTGGCTCGCAGATAAAATATACTCAGTTCGTGCCAAACCCTATCCGCTGACGCATAGTTTGGCTCTCTGAGACGCATGTTATGTAGGACTTTTAGGGCTTTATCGTCCATGATTTTATGGTACCTGGCTTGTAGCTAGGTACTGATCTATAGACAAGTGAATATATACACATGTACATAATATATATATATATATATATGTGTGTGTGTGTGTGTGTGTGTGTGTGTGTGTGTGTGTATG